CAGCCCCCGTGCCTCCGGCCCCTGCGCCGCCGGAGCCTGGGAGGGGAAGTGCCCGGCCGGGGGCGCAGGGTCTGGAGACTGCCCAGCAAATCATGAAGCTGGTAGCGCTCAGGCTTCAGGCAGCCCCTATGCCTCCGGACCCTGCGCCCCCAGCCGGGTACTTCCCCTCCCGGGCTCCAGCTGCTCTGCTCCTCCCCTGACTCTTGGGCTCTGTTTAAGAGCCGAGCTGCCCAAGCGCTACCGGCTTCGAGCAGCCCCCGTGCCTCCGGACCCTGCGCCGCCGGAGCCCGGGAGGGGAAGTGCCCGGCCGGCATTTTCCCGGACATGTTCGGCTTTTTGGCAATTCCCCCGAGATGGGGGTTTGACTGCCGAAAAGCCGGACATGTCCGGGAAAAACCGGACGTATGGTAACCCTAGGCATCTCAGCCACGGGCCCCGCACCTGGCCCTGGGACTTACAGGGCTGCGCTCACATCCCATCACCATGCTGGGTCTGCTGAGAATCTGCCTTTTCCTGCTTGGCCTCTCAGGTGGGTTTGTTTGTTTGTTTGTTTGTTTGTTTGTCTGTTCACCAGTCGATTTTAGGTAGCTCTGCAGTTCATGGGCTGAGGGGAGGGGGGGGGTTTCTAAAGTCCCTAAATTCTCCAGGAACACTTAGGAAATCAATAGTACTTCTACTCCTAAATGATCTAAGTGCTTTAGAAAATCCCCTATAAAATTCATCCTTATTGGAAAGACATTGAGATCAGGAGAGTAATGCTAGGGATGTATTAGACCAATATCTACAGATCTGTCTATCTGCTTCTCTCTCTTGTATCTGTCTAACTTAATTGCAGTTTTAAAATACACCACCCGGTATCACGGTGTGAGAGACTAGACCACAGTGACAAAGCCCATCACCAAAACCAACAGCGGGTTCACATCATGTTTGGCTCTTAAAATGGCTGAGTTTAAGAAAAGACAGGAATCAACCCCAACAGCCAACACAAAAGCACTGATCTGTGCTCAGTTTTATTTTACAGCATCCCCGTATGAATGGGAAGTGGAGTCGGAATGGGAATGGGAATAGAAGTGTGAACACGAATATGAATATCCATCGTGAATAACAATCTCCCCTCAATGCTGCCTGCAGCCTCACCGGACATGGACCCCACTGACCGGACATTACATGGCCCTTCTGTGCATGGAACGGGGCTCCAGAGCTGAGTCCCCCCAATCCCCAATGTCACCTCACAATAGCCAGGCCCTCAGTTCCTGGGTGAGGAAATACAGTCACTGCAGGGAGCTGGTCATTCCTCCCAGGGGTCCGAAAGTGTCAGGAGGATCCCAGCGCCCTGTGCCTGGTGCTGCACAGATACACAGGACGGGACAGTCTGACTCCTGCACCCGGAGCCCTGGGGCGAGTCAGTCAGATCACTGGCAGCAGGAGTGTGTGTCTCTTATAAGAAGGGAAATATGCAAATTAGGAAGGCAGTTTCCTTTTTAAATCTGTGCCTCACTCTGCCCAGTCTGCACCCGGAGACACAATCCGCAGCCCCTGGGTCTGTGCAGTGACCAGCCAGTCCCCTGAGAACTTTCCCCTCCAGCACCCGGGAAAATGCGATTTTTGCTCCTTGTAATTTTCACTGTAGCGGTTTTGGAAGGTATTTTCCTCCTCTGAATAACTGGAGGTTAGAAGAATATTGTGTTATCACTGTTTCTATACTGATATTTACAACTTGTCTTTATTCCCAGGTGTCCGGTCCCAGGTGCAGCTGGTGGAGTCCGGAGGGGATGTGAAAAAGCCCGGAGACTCTCTCCGCCTCTCCTGCAAAGCCTCCGGGTTCACCTTCAGCAGCTCCTGGATGAGCTGGGTCCGACAGGCTCCCGGGAAGGGACTTGAATGGGTCTCTACTATAAGCTCCGGTGGGAGTACATATTACCCTGATTCAGTGAAAGGCCGATTCACCATCTCCAGGGATAATTCCAAGAGTGAGCTGTATCTGCAACTGACCGGCCTGAAGCCCGAGGACACCGCCCGCTATTACTGTGCGAGACACACAGTGAGGGGAAGCCGGTCTGAGCTCAGACAAAAACCTCTCCCTGCAGTAATCAGAGAAGCAGTTTGGTGTTGGGGGCACCCAAGGCCTGTCAGTGAAAATGAGATCTGTTATGGGAAAGAGAAGAGCAACAACAAACCCTTTTATTGTTATTATTATTCCTCCTGTTTGATTTTACGCAAGGTGAAGGAATTTATACAAGTTCCCACAAAGGACAGAACATTCTTAGTTGGGTCCCTGCCTCTTTCTTTCCTCTCCAGGGGACACATTCTGAGCCCCCACACGACCTTACAGGGAGTCACAGATCCATAGACATAAAGGCCGGAGCGGAGCAGGATGAGAAACTAGTCTGAGCTCCTGCATAATACAGGCCATAGAGCCTCAACCTGGTCATTCCGGTTCCGTCTCGGACCCTCTTGAATTCACCGTTCCGGGATTCCACTCGGTATCACCCTGTCAGTGACACATTCCCGCAGAAGGGCCGGGATCGCTCAGCATTTCGCACTAGAACCCACCACGTTTCTTTGTGTGTTTCCTTTGTTTTCTGCTTCTTTGTCTGGTCAGTTGAATTGCTTTACACCTATGGTGGGTTTTCTGGGCCAAGGAGCATTTTCCTAGGAGAAAAAATACCCTGGGTTAAATGAATAAATAACTAATCCCTCCAAAATATTCATTTTCTGGTTTTAATAATAACACAAAAACAGGGGTCAGTGAGAGAAAGAGACGGGGGCTGCAGAGTCCGCTTCTCCCGTCCACTACCAGGGAGAAGCAATGAGCAAACCCCACAGCACAGCCTTCGTTTGACTCTCTCCTTCGGTTGTTGTCTTTTAATAAAAGAATTGTGTTGGTTTGAAAGCAATCTCTATTCTATTAAGTGAAAGCAAAAAGAGCCCTGCAAAGCAACAGACAGTTATGTTAAGGCCCCTTCTTAATCATGTGCACGATCGCCTCCTAGCATTACAAGCACTGCAATCCCGAGCATAGCAACAAATATTAGTGGCTTTCAGCTTCAAATTGCTGCCTCAAGGCATCCCTGATCCTTATGGCCCCGCGCTGCGCCCCTCTAAAGCCCTGGTCTCTGGCGGTTCAAACTCTGCCTCTGGGCACTGACCCTCAGCGGTCCAGCCCTGAGTGAAGCTTTCACCCTTCCCTTCATAGATATTATGGAGTGTACAGCACGCAGCTGTAAGCACAGGGATATTGTCATTGGCCAGGTCCAGCCTCACATACAGGCATCGCCAGTGGGCTTTTAAATGGCCAAAGGCACACTCCACAGTCATTCTGCACTTGCTCAGCCTGTTGTAGAACTGCTCCTTGCTGCTGTCAAGTTGCCTCACGTATGGCTTCATAAGCCACAGCATCAAGGGGTAGGTGGGGTCTCCCAGGATCACAATGGGCATTTCAACTTCCCCTACGGTGATCTTCTGGTCTGGGCAGAAAGTCCCTGCTTGCAGCTTCCTGAACAGGCCAGTGTTCTGAAAGATGCGTGTGTCAAGCACCTTTCCGGATCAGCCTCCATTAATGTCTGTGAGATGTCCACGGTGATCCACATGTGCCTGGAGAACCATCGAGACATATCCCTTTTGATTAATGTACTTGGTGGCTAGGTGGTCTGGTGCCAGAATTAGAAAATGTGTGCCATCTATTGCCCCTCCGCAGTTAGGGAAACCCATTTGTGCAAAGCCAGCCACAATGTCCCGCACGTTGCCCAGAGTCATGGTCTTTTGGAGCAGAATGTGATTAATGGCCCTGCACACTTCCATCAACACGACTCCAACGAATGACTTTCCCACTCCAAACTGGTTAGCGACTGATTGGTAGCAGTCTGGAGTAGCCAGCTTCCACAGTGCTATCTCCATGCACTTCTCCAGCGACAGGGCGGCTCTCATTCTTGTGTCCTTGCACTGCAGGGCTGGGACGAGCTCATCATACAGTCCCATGAATGTGGTTTTCCTCATATAAAAGTTCTGCAGCCACTGCTCATCATCCCAGACGTGCATGACGATGTGATCCCACCACTCAGTGCTTGTTTCCCGAGCCCAAAAGCGGCGTTCCACTGTGGTCAGCATGTCCATGAATGCCACAAGCAATCTAGTGTCGTAGCTACTACGCGTGGCGAGATCAATGTCACACTCCTCTTGTCTTTGTAGTTTAAGGAATAACTGCACTGCCACTCGTGACGTGTACGTGTTAGTGAGAGTGAGCAGCATACTGGTCAGTTTGGGATCCATTCCTGCGGCCCAGAAGAGGCAGAGCGCGCAGTACACAAACCGTTGACAGGTGGTGTTAATTGCGGACAGAAGCGCAGGGATTGCTGGGATGCAAAGCAATGCATCACAGGGCATTGGGACTGGACCCAGGATGCTCCGCGACCCCCTCACACCTTCCCACAAGTCTTAGCGGCAGAAGAGAAAGAGACGCTCTGTGGGATAGCTGCCCAGAATGCACCGCTCCGAACACCGCTGCAAGTGCTGCAAGTGTGAACACGCTATTGCACAGGCAGCTGTCAGTGTGAACACACAACAGCAGTTTTCCTTCGGCGCTCTCTGAGTGGTGCTGTAACTGCTGGAGCTGCAACTTTGCCAGCGTAGACGTGCCCTTAGTGCATAACACAAATGGCTTATCAAAATCATGTTGGACTAAAACAGGATGTTTCTCTGTAAGGTTCATTATGGAAGTCACAAGATGATTGAATTTCTTTACAAACCCCAGGTAAAACTTCGTTAGACAATAGTGGGTTGGATCTGCTCTTGCAGCATAATTCCTGTATGTCTCATGTGATCTTGCCATAAGCTAATGAAAATAGCTAATTATTTATACAAGTTCTGTCAAATGTTTGGAACCTAATTAATATCAAGTCAATGCAGATATTAATGTTCCCCATAGTGTAGGAATCTTGGCATTTAACCATGGAAGCAATATGGTAGTGTGCCTCAGTTTCCCTTTTCATACAGCACATTAGGTCTGCAATGTATTTTCTCCTATGTACAGTTTCAAGACTAGTTCCAGGCACTAACTGTGAAATATCAGTATCACAAGGTCTTTTAACATAAAGTGTTCTCTTATGTATCACTCCCAACATGTTCAAGGGTTTTTCCAAAAGATTAGGCACATTGTACATTTTTACAGTGTTTGGTATCAGCAACACATTAGTCACAAGAGTTAACATTAGCATTAATATGAACATTAAATTCATTACAAGTGTACATTTCCAATCATTTTTGTCATGCCACGCCTTTGGCTCAATACCATTGGGGTTTTGGCATTTTGGGGTTAACAGGTGGCTTTTATTTGAAAGATTTAGTCTTTCCCTTCCTCCCTGTTCTGGGGGGGTCAAAATCTGAGCTCTTTTGGGTAACAGAATCCATTGTCTGGCTGGGTGTGTCCTCTTTGCTAATGGCTATGGGCAAGTCTTTCTCCCCCCTGTCTGTCAGGCAATTTGCATCAACACAGACACTAGCTTGTTCACTAGTTTTCAGATTCTTAACTAATACCAATTCCAAGGCTGGACTCTGTCTTAAAGAGATACCGTCCATTTTTTCACTAGCATGTTAGACCCAAGGTTCTTTTTTCTTTCCATCACCAACCTCTGTTTCCACATGGAATCGGATGTTAAGTCCATTAAGAGACTATAAGACACATCCAAAGTATTTAGAGATGAGAGTTTGCCTGCCATCCCCTCTACTCTCACGAGATTAACTGCACAGCTGTCCTGATCTGCAGACTCAGCTACCCAGTCTTCTCTCTGAACCTGAGACACCGACTGTTCACTCAAAGAGTCAACATGTTGACATTCCTGTTCCAACAACATTGTTTCCCCAACAGGCTGGCCAAGCTCAGCCACTGGGTTATAAGGCTGTTCAAACTCCTTAACCATTTTTATTCCATCTGAGGCCTTTTAGGCTCTCCACACTGGATTTTTCTAAAGCAAGGTTGTGGATCCATACACATCTGAAAACTTAAATACCCACCCAGGAAACTGCAGAAACAGATTGCAGAGCGAGACGGGTACCCAGAAATCACCAACTACTGGACAGGCCCAAGAGGGAAATACCAGAACACCACTGGCCATAACATACAGCCCCCCAGCTAAAACCTCTCCAGCACATCATCAATGATCTGCAACCTCTCCAGGCAGAACCCCAAGGTCAGGAACGTGTCACTCTGGCTCCATTTCCTTCTGATTGCAACTGTTTCCCCAGTACATTGTTTTCCTGAAGACACTGAGGAGCCTCCAGGTTTTATATCAATCTCACTGGGAGCCTGGTCTGCAGGGATCTCATTGTGTCTTTATTTCCAGGTGTCCGGTCCCAGGTCCAGCTGGTGGAGTCCGGAGGGGGTATGAAAAAACCCAGAGACTCTCTCCGCCTCTTCTGCAAAGCCTCCAGGTTCACCCTCAGGAGCTACTGGATGAGCTGGGTCAGACAGGCTCCCGGAAAGGGACTGGAGTGCATAGTGGAAATACACCCAACTTCAACTACCATCAACTACGCACAGCCCTGCAAGGGATGCTTCACCATCTCCAGGGACAACCCCAACAACCTGCTGTTTCTGCAAATGACCGGCCTGAAACCCGAGGACACCGCCCGGTATCACTGTGCGGGACACACAGTGAGGGGAAGCCGGGCTGAGCTCAGACAAAAACCTGCCCTGTCGCTTTCAGAATCAGGTCGCTGCTGGCGGGGAACCAGGGATCAAGCACCAAAATCTGCAGAGGAGAAAATAGAGAAAACAGGGGAATCTGCCAATCCCTGCCTGTCACCTCCACTTTCCTGTTCCCGGGAATTTACCTATTTTAGACGTTCACACTCATACAACAACGTATGTTGGGGGGGGGGCTTTCCCACCCCATCCCGCTGCCGCTTACACCCTGGGAGGGGGGTTTACCTTCTCCATCCACCCTATCCCACCCCACTGAGCCCAGAACCTCCACATTCCCCGCGTCCTGGGACTGATACGACATAAATTATATTCGACAAACAAATCTTTGGGAGAGGGAACATCTGTTTGTCCTGAGATGGCCCAGGGCTTCGACTAGTGGGGCCCGAAACGGGGCTCCCAGGCCCAAGCACAACAATAAGAATAAATTATTATTAATTATATATTATTATTGATGATAATATTATAACTGAATAGCAGTGATTCAGGACTCCATGTTTTATTGCAGGTACTAGTATGCCCCAAATTGAGGTAATATATTAGCCCCTCACAACGTTTAATGTAGTTGCTTTCACAACACCTCTGTGAGACAGGGAACTGCTGTGGTCCCCTTGTTAGAGATGAGGAGCTATCGAGAACGATCATATAACATATTTGCTGGTAAAGTTTGAGAATGCGCCAAAGATGATAATGAGGAGGAGGAGGATGAAGATCATGATGATGAAATGAAAGGTGGCCTAGAAGCGCTTGGCTGTCATCAACAGGACTGCAGCTTCCTTTCGTCCTTCTCTCTTTTATGCTACAATCCTTCACCCCCTTAGTTCTCTCTTTCTCCTCTGACAGCCCCTTTCTGGAGCACTTCAGGACAAGGTTCCCATTGTGCAGGACTCCACACAAACACATGGGACCTGATGCGATCCAAGCCACTAACAAAAATCCACTTGGGTTTTAATGGGATTTGTGTTGGAACGCTACACACATTGACACACATCTCCCCTTCTCTCGGAATCTGAGGGCAAGAAGTGAGATCACCCAGGGAAGGAGTTTGTGTGTCTGATAAGGGGCGGGATATGCAAATCAGGGGGACAGTTTCCTGTTTAAATCTGTCTCTATCTCTGCCCAGACTGCACCCGGAGAGACAATCCGCAGCCCCCTGGGTCTGTGCAGTTACCAGCAAATCGCCTGAGAACTTTCCCCTCCGACACGTGGGAAAATGAGGCTTTGGCTCCATGTAGTGTTCCTTGCAGTGGCTTTGGAAGGTATTTTCTCCCCTCTCACCCATTGGCGGGGGCCGGGGGAGGTAACTGTCTATTGTTGCTCTGAATATTAATGTGATGTATAATATCTTTCTATTCCCAGGTGTCCGGTCCCAGGTGCTGGTGGAGTCCGGAGGGGATGTGAAAAAGCCCGGAGACTCTCTCCGCCTCACCTGCAAAGCCTCCGGCTTCACCTTCAGCAGCTACACTATGCACTGGGTCCGTCAGGCTCCAGGGAAGGGGCTGGAATGGGTCTCACTCATTTACACTGATGGGAGCCAACAATTTTACGCAGACTCAGTCAAAGGCCGATTTACCATCTCCAGGGACAATTCCAACAACCTGCTGTATTTGCAAATGACCGGCCTGAAGCCCGAGGACACCGCCCGGTATCACTGTGCGGGAGACACAGTGAGGGGAAGCCGGGCTGAGCTCAGACAAAAACCTGCCCTCGCTGGCTAAGGACAAACTCTCCACTGGGGGCGCTGGAGTTCTACAGCTCGCAGCGGAGAGACAGTGAGTGAGAAAACTCCTGTCCGCAGCTGCCTGTCTGTGACTCTCACACACACAGCTGCAGACACAGACTAACCGCACTGTTAGCAGAGACCAGCCTGCAACTTTCCCTTTCCCCCAATACACTCTGTGTCCCTCACTCCGCTCCACCCCGCCTTCCCTCACCCCCTCCCCTCACCCCCCTCCACCTCCCAATAGCCCAGGCTGAGAGAATCAACATTAAAGTGAATTAAAACATGTAATTTAAACCCCTCTCTAAAGCCAGGCGGAGGGTTTCCAAGCTGCCCTACAGATACGGGCACCTCATTCCTATTATAATCCCTCAGTAGCTTTGGAAAATCTCAGCCTGGGCAGACAGGTTTGAATTCCGGACGGAGCCTAGGAGCGCTGGACACCCACCTGCCAGGGGCTTTCCATGTGTGTTCAGGGCTCGGTCCACAAAAGGATTCAGCACCTAACTGCCGCCTTATGTGCCCAAATCGGACATGCCACCGAGATCCTCAAAGCCTGCACCCTGTAGGCGCCGAAATCCCCTAGGTGCCTGGCTAGTGACATGTACTGGGCCAGAGAGAGCAGGAAATCGAGTCACTCTACAGCCCAGGGGTTAGGACACTCTCTGGGACTCAGGAGGAGACTCGAGTCCCTAATTACTTATAGCAAGTGCAACAGCCTTGCAACAGCCATGTCCCCTGGTGAGCTTTGCCCTTAATGTATCATTCCTAGACACCCCGCCCCGCACACACACAATTCCATCTTAAATAACTACACTCACACCCCAGAAACCATACACCAAAGGAAAATAGAGAGAGCAGCATTCCAGGAGAGAAATAAACCTGAGTTTCTTATTGTGGCTTGCAGTGATCATTACAAGCAGAAGTAGGGAACAGACAGTGATACCCTTATGTTGACTAGTGAATACACTAGTGAATAACCCGTCTGGTGGAAGCCAATATTAGTGGGTGTTGAGGTATTTCTTTATGATTCAGTAACATGGGACAAATCTTGTTCCGGCCTTATATATCCCATGGCGCTACTCAGAGACCCAGTGAGCTACTGTCTGCCCTAAAAACCCTTGAATAGCCCAGCCCCAGCTCTCAGATTTTACAAACCAACCTCTGCAAACGTTCGTCCACCGCTTACGGGAACTGAGCCTGGCACCTGAGCACACTGCCTCCAACCTGGGAAATAATATTCACAGCGTGACTGAGCACCATGGCGCCTCTGGGGCTACGACTTTCAGAAAAACACAGGGGATCCTGACCCCAAATCCCCACTGATTTTAAGGGCTTGTAGAATAATAATAAAGAATTCTGTCTTTCCGTCCACAATTGATAGAGTTTAATATATTTTCCCCAATTCTTCTTCTAGAACAGGGGTCGGCAACGTTTGGCACGTGGCTCGCCAGGGTAAGCACCCTGGCGGGCCGGGACAGTTTATTTACCTGCTGACGTGGCAGGTTCAGCCGATCACGGCTCCCATTGGCTGCGGTTTGCAGTCCCGGGCCAATCGGGGTGGCAGGAAGCGGCGCAGGCGAGGGATGTGCTGGCCACGGCTTCCCAGGCAAGCGGCGTGCCAAATGTTGCTGACCCCTGTAAGGAGGAAGAGGAATTTTCAGACATTACTAGTAATAACACCTAGCTATCCCATAGTGGTTTTCATTCATAGATGTCAAAGCACTGAGAAGGGGAGGTCAATACAATCTTCCCATTTTATAGCCACACAAACTGAGGCACAGGGAGTGTAAGTTTCTTTCCCAAGGTCACCCATCACCCCAGTAGTAAAACCAGGACTAAACACCCGGATTCTCACTTACCAGGCTGAGGTCCCACCAGAAGATCACACTGCCTGAAGGATATCCCAAAAACAGAGGGACAAGGAGACAGAATTTAGTGGAAGGTGAACGATCAATACGGAATTTTGTCTCTAAAACACAACTAGGATTATTGCAGAAAAGTCTGCAGAAATTATTCGGTGACTGGAGTTCTTCCTCTTCTCCGTTACCCAGATAACCCTTTCCCACCACACCCACCTGCGGGAGGCTGAGTTTGCTGAGGGCTCAGGTCCAAGATGTGTCTTATAAAGAGGAGGAGATGCAAATTCAGTGCCTCGGCGCACTATAGAAACCCTGTGATCTCCAGGACCCGCCGGGTGAGAAGGGAGGAGGGGCAAGTCCGGGTGTCCGTGCAGTTCCCACCAGAAACCCTCCAGCGTCAGCAACATGAGACTGTGGCTGAGCCGCGCTTTCTTTCTAGGGGCCCTTCGAGGTAATTTTATCCCCTTCCCCCCTACATGGACTGGAGACACCAGGGGATGCTGCACATTCCTACCCTGACCCAAAGCGCAGCGACGTCACTGGGAACCTTTCTGCTGCTTCCAGCGGGCTCTGAGCCAGGCCGGGGGTGAATGTGATTCTCATTCTGTCTTTCCAGGTATCTGGTCACAGGTCTGGTTGGTGGAGTCCAGAGGGGGGATTCAAACCCCTGGGGAAACTCTCCGCCTCTCCTGCAAAGCCTCCGGATTCACCTTCAGCTACCACATGAACTGGGTCCGTCAGGCGCCGGGGAAAGGACTGGAGTGGGTCGCACAGATACTCAATCCTACTTATAGTTCAGCAACATATTACAGTGATGCGGTTAAAGAGCGATTCACTATATCATAGAATCATAGAATCATAGAATATCAGAGTTGGAAGGGACCTCAAGAGGTCATCTAGTCCAACCCCCTGCTCAAAGCAGGACCAATTCCCAGCTAAATCATCCCAGCCAGGGCTTTGTCAAGCCGGGCCTTAAAAACCTCCAAGGAAGGAGACTCCACCACCTCCCTAGGTAACGCATTCCAGTGTTTCATC